GTGTCCTTTTTTCTCTATTAAATTATATTAAATATTAAACAACATCACATACACTGCTCAGATTCCAAGACGAGTAGCTAAAGCCACCGTATTATGGAGTATCTGAGATTACGAATGTACCACAACACCCAGACCAGAGACAATATAGAAAAGTTTATTTTCTACATTGACCTGACCGGGAATCTAACCCGGGACCTCAGAAATGGCGACACCTTGTAACCGGCGTGCGACGACTCGGCTACAGAGTGAAATCAAACTTTTGAACGTCATAAAAAGCTAATATATAATCATATCATTATATTCCAATTTTGATAAGGAACTCATGAGAGTGTTGTTTGTGTTTAAAGGCCGCGCACATTATTTTTGCCTTCAGTGGCTTCAACAATAGATCGGACCCTGAACCAAGTATCTTTTTTGGAAACCCCTAAATAAATCCCACATCGAATAAAAGAAATAAGTATTCTACAAATAGACGATTTTGTTTTATTCAATAAAGTTTGTTTTTGTTAATTTATTGCTTGTTATTTTGAATTTAGCAAGATATTGCCGAAGAATAATGTGTATCGATTCTGGCTGACAATGTATGAAGTTTCAATAAGTACTTTGTACCTTATATTGTGTTTTGTTTCTGTATCTACTGTTTTTTTTTTTTAAATTTTTACAATTATAAGTTTTAAGCTGATATTTTGTAATAAAAAGTTTGAATTAATTTGTGGTTTCATTGTTGTCCAAAGATTTTTCAAATGTTGGAAAATCTTGAAGACATGTAGCTGGATTGAATGATTGATATCGAAACAATCTCATTTCTCTTATGTGACCGATAGGCGTGTGAGTGTCTAAACACTGGTAGTCACCACGCGGCGGCGCAGTCCCATGGTTATGAGTTAAATCGGATCTAATCACTCGGTTCAGCAACCATGGAGGAGACGCCATTGTTAACTGAAAGTAATAAGGTTAAGTAAAGTTAATGATGTTTAGCTTTCCTTCACCGCCAGGTTAATTAACGATCAAGGTCGAAAGGGCTCTTACCGCTAGCAGCTTATGAGAACCGCGGCCAGCGGTAGAATGGTCAACCGCCGCCGATGAGAGAGGATTGAGATAGAGACTTTGTTTTGACTTTTCGCCTCCCCTCTTAAATTATAGAGCATATTGCTTTCGGGTTCGATTCCATGTCGAAATAATCGAGCTTCTCAAAAATCCCTTTGCATACTTAAAAAAGTACAGTTAGTTTCACACTAGAATAGTTTTAGGAATATTCTTAATGAAAGATGCTTTACAAATTCACCAGTCAGAGGTGGGTTCTCAATTCAAATGACTGCTCTAACCACAGAACTACCCAAGACTAGATATATTTTAAACTTTAGTTTAAAATGAAAGTATGTTATTATTTTTATTGATCAGTTTTACATTCACAATGCTATACTGATAAATATTTTATATAAAACCGTCTTCCAGCCCCGGGTACGAGTTCTTCTATAAAGTTTTTTACCCTGTTTTGGGTTAACACAAAGCTATTAGTAAAATTTACAAATTACCGGTTTAACCACAGATGGAAAAGGATTTCTATAATCATCCTGCTGGTTTGTTAGATAATCCATCACTCCATAATTAGCTGGCAATTGTGCTAAATCCGCGTTTTTCATTAGTTTATTTCTTCCAGGAGTACTACAAAATCGATAAGTTACATTGAACGGTCATTAAAAAGGAGCCCTACGGTGTAGTAGTGGTTAACGCATTCGGTCTGCACCTATGTGAAAATTAAGCAAATTTCGGAAGGGCTTTTCATGCAATGGGTGTCCCAGAAATTATTATCTCGAATATCACCGTGCTTCAGAAGACATTTTAAGCCGTTACCTACTCCCGTTTGCATCTGATGTCGTTAACACCCACCAAGCCGCACAGGGCCCGCGTGGTGTGTCATTGCCCATTATTTGACATTATTTGATTCCATCCATAGAAAAAGCCTGAGCCAAGCAGTGTAGTCATTAATAGACTTACGATGATGATGATTCTGACATAAAAAAAAAATTGGTAGGCGCATTTTTAACTGATGGACCTATAAGATAGTCGGGCATACAATGCGGTGTTCTTCAAATTTAAAAGATCGTAGAATTCAAATAAGTCTCTTCTATAATGTATACCTAGGTAACTTATTCCCTGCGTTTTTTTTCATATGCCGGGTAATTTCGGTATCAGGGGGCGTATGTTCAATTTTCATCTACTTTGTTCAAGGATTTTCTTTAATGATTTCAAAACAGTTTAGTTACACTTCGTAATTGTTTAAATAATGTAGATGTTTGAGAAATTTATTAGACCGCTTTTGGGTCATCGGTATGATTTTTCAATCGATGTAGTATTCTCGGAGACAATCAAATGTACTGTAACAGGCAGATGAACAGACCGACACAACCGAGTGATAAATAAGAGGATCATACACGTTGAGGCGCGGTACCCTAACATAGAAAGTTAAAGCTTCACATTTCACGTTCACATAATCATGATATTTACTTTCTTACATATTAATACTATTTAATACTACCACAGCCGCATAGGACCAGCCCCCTAATTGTCTAATTTTAAATCTATTACAATCGCTTTCAGTTTGAAAGGTGTTGTACAACCATTGCTGCATAATACAAATACTTTTTTTTCAACTGTCTTCAGAAACAAGCAATGGTTGTGCAACACCTTTCAAACTGAAAGCGATTGCAATAGATTTAAAATAAGACAATTAGGGGGCTGGATACACCAAGAGATTTGTTCTTTACTAAAGTATGAGCCACTCGATCGAGAGTGGCTCCAGTTACACACCAGTTTCAAGATATGTCGCCAAATCGATTCCCGGAAAAAACTTTTCTATATTGTCTCGGGTCTGAGTGTTATGTTTACTTTCGTTGTTTCAGATTCCCATAACACAAGTTCTTTAGGTTATTAATTTGGGATCCGAACTATACATGTGATATTGTCTAATATGTATTATTATTTAAAAAGAAGTGTGTATTGACTTACTCGGTACAGGGGTACGATGTGAAATTCACGAGCGGTTTGAATGAATAAACTGGATCAGTCTTTGTAAATACTTGAGCTAGCATATGCCGGGTCTCAGTCATTCGAACGCCTTGGTCTTCATTTCCCCAACGTACGTATGTACTTACGTGGTTACTCAAATTATCACGGTACACATAATTATCTTTCTTTTCGGCATGTATTGAATAATCCCAATTTTCGATTTTAGTTTTAGGTCCATAGTTGTTTTTGGAAAACAGTATTTGTTGCGGCTTCTTTGCAGTAGGGTGTTTCGTCCTCATTATAATAGAGATATTTAAAGTTCACTAATAACTAAAACAAACCTATACGAAAACTTCTATTGATCTAAGTTTTGTAAATACAATAGTAAACAATCAATTTAAGGTTTGTTTGCGTTGACAACAAAACTCAGTCATATGTCCATAGTTGGTAAACAAAAAGGTTTTATACCTTAACTAGTGGCCGCCAGCGACTTCGTCCGCGTTTTCCATTATTTCTTCGCTCCTTATAGTTGCAGCGTGATGTTATATATCCTAAAGCCTTCCTCGATAAATGGTCTATTCAACACAAAAAGAATTTTTCAATTCGAACCAGTAGTTCCTGAGATTAGCGCGTACAAACAAACAAACAAACAAACAAACAAACTCTTCAGCATTATAATATTAATATATCTACAAAAATGTATTTTTAGTTTGGAAAATGCCTGTAAAGGAAGCCAGTCGGTTGCCGTGACTAAGATCTCTGTGAATTCCTATTACCAGCCATCGAGTTTGGGACCCAGCGGTCTAATCAGGTAATAGGGAAGACCATAGTACTTACATTTTTTTTATGGTCTTGTTCCGTTATACACAGATATTATGCCAGCATCCCGTAGTGAGAGAGACACGAGACTAGAGAGACTGAACGGTAGTTGGAATTAACCAGTTCTTCATAGACCTATTTCAATATTACCGACGTTAAGTATGCTCTCTCACAGGTTATGACCTGGTAAAATGCTAAAAAAACGAAATGTATAAACTTTATGTTACCTAATGTAAAAGTTGAGCTAACAAACTTAATGACGAAAAGCTCGAGTTGGTTGATTCGACAATCTTCTTGAGTGTAATGCTGGATTCCAAATTGCAATGGCATCCTCACATTTCATTATTGACAAGAAAACTGAGTTCAGGTGCCTTTGCAATAAGAAAAATTAGCGTTATGTCATATGTGTCTACTCAGTAAAGGATATTTATATTTAATATTTATAGTTCATGAATATTTAAAAGACCAAACTTCTTGGTGCTTTATGTATCTTAAATTATTTATCGATGAACTTAAATGAGTAGACATGTGATTCGATTGACGAAAATACTGTTTTACTTTTATATTTTCTAATATTGTAATGGAAAGTGACTTCATATTTTAATGAAGTTACTTTTCAATCTTGACGCTCTATATGAAATAAAACGGAGAAAAAAGCAGCCCTTGCCGAGTTTCTTGCCGGTTCTTCTCGGTACAAGGCTCTCGGTACCGCCGTAGATTTACGAACCGATGGCGAAGCTCTCGACTTTCACAAGTGCTTGTAATAACCTAGACAGGATAAATAGTTTTGATTTGATTTGATTTGATTTAAGCGTATGAAGCCGTGCCTGCGCTTGATAGCCAGGCAAGGCTATGGACTCTATCAGTGAAAACGGATGGAGCAAATGTAAATAGCTATCGGTCAATCCCCAAACACTTATGGTTGGACTAGACTTTCCCAAAGTAATACAAACATAAATGATAATCGGACTCCACAAGCTGTCTGAGGTAACCAGACTGTCTAATATCTGCGCTATAAGATTTATTAAAAAATATTTTGTGCTCGTGTGAAAGAAATGGAACTTTACCGATGTCTTACTCAGAGTTGTCAAAACATTAATCGCAGGTAGAGCTTAGAAAACTTCTAGCTATAAAAACAAAAACAGAATACGAAGTGGCTAATAAAAACGTCTTTATTTAGCTTTGGTAGCAAGAGTAGGACGTGTAGTCCTATAGCAACCAGACAACTTTTCAGCTCGTCGTATTTCTTCATCTTTAACTCTGATACTCTCTTGAGCGCAAGCTATAAATGCCTCGAAAAATTCGAAAAACGTTATGCGTATGTCGAGGTTCATAATTGCATTGGCAGAACTTAAATGTGGAAAAATGTTAGAGAATATTTTTATGATTATCTTGCTCGACAGGTTGCCGAAGTTAAATAGCCTCAAATCTTTAGGAGGTTCTTCGCTATAATTTTCTTCAAATTCTACAAGCCGCAGCTCTTCATCATCTACAATAATTTTAAATTATTATAGGTAACATTATATAATCTAATCTACAGGTATCTATAGTCTAAACACCCAACTCAACGTCTTTAGCCTTTAGCTAGGTATAAAAACGGATCGATTTTTTTCAAAGTTTTTATTATTTATTTACTTAATATAAAACAAAGTCGCTTCACTAAGATTATTTAAACGACACAACGGAAATAAAATATAAACAATAATAGAATATCAAAGGGTTTAGCCGGATACGTATGACGAGTCGGCCCCCAAATGGGAATCGATATTGAAACTTATGTTTCAATATAGACTTGATGTTCAAACACGATTTATGTACTTTTCGCGACCGACTTCCGCTTTGACCTTGAGATAGAGAGCAAAATATCCGTATGCTTGACTATTACTGAATGTGATATATCTCTGAAGCTAATTAAGATAAAGAAGTGAAACTAACGCGAGGTGTTAGGTTACATTACAGAGTATATCACATATATTTTTTTATAATTTTTAGAATAAAAAATTACGTTAAAAAAATAAAAATAAAAAAAACATGTTTTTTTTCTGAGTTCTCTGTGACTTACAATCACGAAATTAATATATGTTATGCTCCTTTGTGTGCTCTATCACCCATAAAAATTGCGTGAAAAAAAAGTTGGTGCAACACAACGAAAAAAAATTATATGTGATTCGCGCCTTGTAGTGTGAGTGTATAAACAAACAAGTTCGAACTTGTTATCGAGCTGTTTACTGCATCGTTTGTTTAGCTAAAGTAGCAGTCATTTTTATTACACAAGAAGGCAGTTTGGGACTCAAATTCTGTCATAGGTATTTTGTATCAGCATTTTGAAATTATTAACTATCGAACCAAATCATTATTAAGTAATAATGTCGAGAAAGTGTAAAAATTGTAACAAGTACCTGTGTAAGATTCCTGGTTATAAAAAAATTATAAAGAATGAAGAAGAAGCTAAAGTGTTTAGTGACTGTTTGAATAAAATCGTAATAGTTAATGATATTTTTTGTAAGAAGTGTCGACTTATCCCATATATTAACAAAAAAGCTTCTACTTCTAAATGTGCAGCATTTAACTTGGCCGAAATAATGGACGATCAAAATAATCTCTCAGTACAATATGTGAAATCAGCACCTAATATCATCAAAGCAGAAGTAAAATCAAGACATATAAATAGAAAAGTCTATCGAATTTACATTCACTATATTTCCGAAGGTAATGACTACAATAGTATTCTTCGTTATTGCTGTGATTGCCCCAATGGCAAACGTACAGTGGGATGCTGTTCTCATGTAGCAGCTATTATTTATTATCTATCATATGGATGATATTTGTCCAAAATCGTACGTCCTGCTGAGGTCCTAACTAAGTTATTTGCGACTCAAAAAGTGTTCCGATTGTAATTAATTACAACAGTGACGATGATTAATATTTTGTTTCTTGTATTTTGATAGACACGAAAAAGTAATAATTATAAGTATTGAACACTGGCTGTTTTTTTTTTCATTTCTTTTTTAACTATTATCCCATCTCTTAAGACTAGTTACTTATGTTTTAAAACAAGCTGATGTGAAATTTCGAAAAAAAAACAATGATGTAATATGAAAACCTTATAATACAGGGGTATACCATAAGACAGAAATCACATATAATTTTTTTTCGTTGTGTTGCACCAACTTTTTTTTCACGCAATTTTTATGGGTGATAGAGCACACAAAGGAGCATAACATATATTAATTTCGTGATTGTAAGTCACAGAGAACTCAGAAAAAAAACATGATTTTTTTATTTTTTATTTTTTTAATGTATTTTTTTATTCTAAAAATTATAAAAAAATATATGTGATATACTCTGTAATGTAACCTAACACCTCGCGTTAGTTTCACTTCTTTATCTTAATTAGCTTTAGAGATATATCACATTCAGTAATACTCAAGCATACGGATATTTTGCTCTCTATCTCAAGGTCAAAGCGGAAGTCGGTCGCGAAAAGTACATAAATCGTGTTTGAACATCAAGTCGATATTAAAACATAAGTTTCAATATCGATTCCCATTTGGGGGCCGACTCGTCATACGTATCCGGCTAAACCCTTTTAATCAACAACACGTTCTTAGAGATAGACTGTCGCTTTATTAAAGAGGTAGTTCTACTTCTATCACGAAAAAGGTTTCTACCTAGTCCATGAGTAAAACAGAGTACTTTGTAGGTATTATAATTAAATCTTACTCGCTATGAAGACCATGTTGTCCCCAATTACATAAGTGTTCTTCCCTAGTGGCAAAGAGCCGTCAGGAGCGTCTACGAGAGGAGACTGTGGTTTGTCCATGTCGTGAGGCGGTCTCCTTACTGCGCACAAGAAATCGCGCACCGTATGTGGCTCGCCAAGATTACGGTACAATGCGTACAGACCTTTCAGGGGAACGAATTTCCCGTACTCGATTAGACGACCTGCATTCGTAAAAATATAAATATAGCTATTAAGTAATGCAGCTGAAGCCTGGATAAGATCAAAGGTATTGCGGCAGAGGGTTGCGTTAACGCACAGGGATGCGTGCGATTGCCTAAGAGCTCGTTCCCGCTTGTCGGCCTGCGAAACCGTATTTTAATCGGAAGTCGGCGCCTTTATTCACACTTCGGTTAATAATCGGTTGTCGGCCACGACGGCCAAGCTGATCTAACTACATAAAACACAACAACTCTGCCTGCGCGCCGCGATGTATGTGTGCGCGATCGCAGTGACGTACGCTCGGACCGAAAAAGGGGTAGCGGGGGAGGGTAGTCGGCCCCGACACCCGACAAATGTGAACAGCGCTATTCTAACCTAAAGGCGAGCGAGATCCGATACGATTTTTTTCCAGGCGATAAGCGCTGGCAAAACACACGACATTTATTGTCGGCGCCGACACATAATCGATTTCCGACACGTGTGAATAGCTTCATATAACATGCTCTGCCACTAGAACCTCCGATTAATATACGGATCCGACACCCGACAAGTGGGAACCTGCTCTAACTCTCTAGCCACAGGATACATCTTAGCAAATATTTCGTTTCATTTTGTTGCTTTGACATATCTTTTGGTGTTTGAGTGAAATGACTAAGGTAATATTGCTGTCAAATCTATATTGAAATTTTTTTCATAAGCTCACCGTTATATATCCTTTACCATGAACTTGCATGTTAGCGAAAACAAATGTGCGCGCGGTCATCGGTGTACAAAAACCTCTATTACTAATTACATAAGTTTCATTTCTGTTTAGTTATTTTTTCCAAATAGAGTGATATATTGACCATTCACTCAAATTAAAAAACAAGACGCACTCTGCACTGCACGGGACGGTACGGTTGTTGTGCAATGAGAGTGGTTTTCCTTTTCGACTAAAAGGTTATTGAATTGTTATAATAAGTTTATATTAGAAGCTTTCATCTGCAAATGTGTTTTATTATGTACTAGCTTCTTCGTCCGCATGGTGTAGTTACTTTGGGCAACATTTTTTATTTTTCAACACAGAACTATAATAAGAAATATAATAATTGAAACAAATTTTCAACTTTATCAAAAGTTTAAATATTTGTTTCGGCTGTTTCGGTGGATTGCCTTAACATTGATGAAAATGCGCTCTGAGTGGTAAATGTAAGTTTTACGCTTACGCGTTAACTAGAGAGACTAGTGAGGGAGTTCACTAGTGAGGCGCTCTGAAATGCAAATGGAAAGAAAAACACACTGGTGCTAGCTAATAATATGTCTTTCAACATTAGGAGTTCTGAATATACACTATGAGAATAGAAAGTTTTGATTTTACCTCTACGCCGACCGATGTTTGGCAATATATCTCGTTCCATGAATTTTCTGAACCCATTCGCTAAAATTGTATCAGGTTTTGGTCCCGGTAATTCTCTTTTGGCGTATAGTCTGCTTGCCACCGATATAAGACTATGCAGAAATTGCCAATAATAAATTTTCTCAAACGGATTGTGTGACGATTTCGATAGCCACTCGGGATTTCTATGAAACATTTTGTCAATGTCGACTAGAGTTAAACCGTTTTCATGTATATTACAATCATAATAGAACTGCCACAGAAATAAACGTATGAGTACTGGGGTGAATTGAATCTCTTCGGTATTACAAATCGTGGCATAATTATAATAAATATTTTTCAAATCAATTTCGTAACATCTTAACGATTTCCGTAAAGAGCTCTCCTCAAAATTGATCAAATCATCGAAATCTATATCGTTGCTTAATTTGGTTTGGTTTTTAGTTTCTTCTTTACGCATAGCCATATATAGATCTATGTCTGTTAATTTATTATTTTCTATATAATCACTAATCATATTTCTCCTAACTTCTGCCTGTTTGTCGATATTTTTAATTGCCTCTTGAACATGGTAAAGATATCCTTCGCTGGTGTCACAAATGTCGAACTTGTAGGGCTCGTTTATTGCATTTAGTTTACTATCCCTAGGACAACATAGGTATTCATCTGACAACATAGGTCCAAAGTTGTCGTCGATAAATATATTTTTATTTTGAAGTATTAATCCGTTATTAGAGACAAATCGTCCAACACCATGTTTCTTATTATTCTTGAATTCACCTTTGTAATAAGAACCCATTCCTAAACCCAAATTCAGAACACCATATCCATTGCGTTGGCCTTTTAGCCAAGTTCCTCGATAAGCGCATAAAGAAGGCAACGACAATGAATTATTGTAATAAGTATCCCATATGTACATCCCATAACCGGACATAACACCGTTTTTCCATTCACCGCTGTAAAACTGTATAATATGAAGTTATTAGAAGACTACTAAGGAAAAATAATGTGTAGAAACAATATATACATTAACTTACATCATGATTAGGCCAAATCATTATTCCTTTGCCTTCTCTAACGTATTTATCCCACTCTCCATTGTATCCGCTGTCTTGTGTATATTCTCGAGATCCGAAACCGTGTCGGACATTCTAATAGCGTAGAAATATAAAATTTCTTCCAATGACAAAACAAAAAAATAGTAGTAAATACCTGACCTACTTACATGATCCCACTCTCCATCATAAGAATTTTTGAATGATTCTGAGAAATATATGACTCCTTGGCCATGTTTTGACCCACAGGACCAACCACCAGCATATGAACGCTGTTTTCTAGAATCTACGTACAACCCCCGTCCATGGCGTAGGTTACCAACAAAGTCGCCTTCGTACCAACAATCATCTTTCCATTGAATCAAGCCTTTTCCAGAAATTTTATTGTTTTTGAACTCGCCCTTTATAAACACAGAAATCGAATTTCAATTAATATCAGTAACTATCTATTTATACTTTAAGGGGTGGTAGGTAGAGAACGGAATGTCACAAGGTACGATTTTTATTTGCTATATGTTGGGCGCCAGTTTTAACTTCCTAGGTTATAAATAAATATGTACTTAATTGTAAATAATTTTGTGATTGTGAAGAGAAAGAGGTATAAAATACTATCAATAGGGGAAATATCAATACCTAGAGCAATATGTAAGTGTTAAGTTATTTTTAACAATCGACAGTAGGTATTGATCAAAGCTGATAGTTCCGACTCTCAAAACCACTATCACAAAACTGACGAATTTTAGAAATTAAGTTTAACAAATGCGAAGGTGACACTTAATCTTTTAGAAATGGTTACTTGTAATCAATATATTACAAAAAGGTTAAATTTTGAAATCGAACTCTTTGCTATTAAAAATGAGTATGTATTTTATACGTTTTTTTGTTTGATTTTGGAGGTAAATTAAAAATAATAATAATTGTCATCGGATGCAGCGTTAATTTGATGTAAATGGACACTATTTTGATACTTTGCTCTGTTTTTAACTTTTAGTTTGACCCACGTAGATCATCTAAAAGTGAGATAAAAATAAAAAGATAAATGATTTCTCACAATATATACAGTTCCATCAGCCCATTGAAAACGACCCTGTCCATGCATACATTTCATGGAAATTGATCCTTCATAAACATTTCCATTACGGAATTTCACTATGGCGCGCTCGTCCGGCGATGACCACCAAATTTGTTGCGTTGGCTCTACCTATCACAGTAGTTTATGAAGGGATTCATTCACATCATCATCACCAGCCACCAGGCGTCACATTCTCTTTTTAAACAGTAAAAAGAGAATGTGGCGCCTCCAGAGCGGGATTTTGATTTTTCTGGTCAGGCTTTACTTAAGAATAAACAAACTACTTATCCAACCTAACCCAACCACTATAGTATAATATTCCAATCATAAATCCCGTCTAAAATTTATTACTAGGTTAACTAACAACAAAATATATATAATTTTACACTGCAAGTATAAATAAAATTCATATAGGTATGTACATACATACATGAGTTACGTCAGAGGACTCTACTTTTGATCTTCTTGCAGATTTCTGTGGTTTCACTAAAATGAGAAATTCAAAATAATAAATAAGTAAAATACACAGGACTGCACGAGTGCCACATTATGTAAAATTTCTCCAATTGATTTTAAACCCTACTGTTAAAGCGCTAAAGTTTAAAAATCAAGTATTGTAATCAATTAATTTAATAAAGGTTAAATAAAATAGAACAATTACCCACCACTGATACTCTTTCTCTTTCTACTGGCGAAAGTAGTTTCACTAGCGGTTTTTTCGAGTGGTATTTGAGGTATGATCTCTTCTACTTTAGGTGGGACTATAACTTTCCATGTATCAACAATACAGTCTAACATAGATTCAAACATCATAGTAACGAGTTCATTTTTAAAAGAGCCTTTGGGACGCATAATTTCAAAACTTGCAGTATTAGTAGTAAGTGGATAGATCGAACGTGGCGGAGCAAGAGACAAAACATCATATTCTGTTTTATCGTCGTCTGATGTCCTCCTTGATGTAAGTAGAGAACTTTCACGACGCGTAAGAGTTCTTTGCGAATCAACGTAATACATTTCTTGTTATACCCGAATCTTCTTAAAATATACAAATAGCGCTAAATATTTAAATTGCACAAGTAACACTAATAAAATATCATTAGAAAGACGAACATAAGTATTGCAATAAAATAAATGTCAAAGACATGATCAAATATTGGCATTTACCAAAAAGGGTATAATGTAGTATGAAAGAGTAAAATATATAAACCTCCGTGGTCGAGTAGGTCGCACGCCGGATTCTACGTAGAAAATAAACTTTTCTGCATTGTCTCGCGTTTGGGCGTTACTTTCGTTGTTTTAGATTTCCTTTATAAAAGTACTTTAGCTACTAAATTGGGATCTGGGATGCGACCGCCTCACTCTCTAGCCATAGGATACGACATCTTATCGATGTTATGGCGATATTTCGTTTCATTTTACTACAAAATAAGTATTTAATTTAGTAACGACGAAACGAAAGATTATGGATTTAATGGCAATGTTTCCAAATTAATCACTTATCCCAAAATCCACCAAAATATATTTCAAAGTAGTAACATGAAACTAAATATCGTCATAACATCGCTAAGATGTATGTCCTGTCTACCTACGGCTAAAATCAAGACTTGAGAATTAGGCGGTCGCTCAGCTGATCAATAATGTGATGTTCTCTTACATTTATTTATATTCTGTGTTACTGTGCCAAATTAGAGGTATATAAGTATACATTTTACCTCTAATCTACATCTCTCATCCAAGATTGCGGCTATGTCCCATCAACATTACCATTTTGCTAATTCCATTATTATTAAGTACTTATACCTTCTTAAGTATAAGATGTTACCCACCCGAAATCCTGGGTTAAATTAAATTAGAATTTCTAATTTACAACAACAAGTTGCGGGCAGAAGCAAAATAGTATCTACCTCTCTTAGTATCTTGATCCAAATAGATATACATTTTCACTTCAATACGATAAAGCGAAGCTCAGTTACATAAGTGAAAAGTGAAACGCTATTTCACTTTGGATAACAAGCTATTTCTAATAACCTGTTCTACTCAATAAGAAAGAAAGTTGGCTCTTTTACTCCAGCTAACACCCGAAGAATAGAAGCTTTTTGAGGTCTTTACAGGCTTCGTGGAGAGTTGATAAAAATTGTAAGGCAAATATTTTTTTTAATTAACTCAAATAATCAAAGTTTAGCCAGCGACATGTTCTCGGGGCCCTGAGATTGTCGAATTTCAATAATATTTTTTTATAACATAAATAAAGAAAATTTATACCCTTATTTTATAAATCCATACTTGCCACAAATTATGAATATGATAATGAAATTTATTTAGGGTTAAAATTTAGTAAGAGTATGGTCTCGAACATGCTTTGTGATGGCAATCCGGTCCTAGATAGCTTTTAGGATGGATAAGGACACGTTTGTATTCTTAAATAGGTAAAGGTCAAAAACTTTATTTCTATCAACTAGTATCATTAATACAACTTTTAGTTTTTATTCTTAACTTTTTTTAGATGTAAAGAAGTGTGGCGCAAAAAACTTAAAGGAACTCAGAGGCTAGGCTATCAAATAAAAACACTGATTAAGTTTCAAACTGATGTACTTTAAACAGGATTTTTACTTTATTTTTTAGTTTATGTCTTTGTTGACTGTGCCGTTCTCTAATAGAAGCGTGTTTGTCAATCATGCTCTCAAGTGAATCAGAATCAGGAGAGCGTGTTAACTCACTAAGAAGTCGACCTAGAGACAGAATATAATATTTATACTATAATGTAAATTAATAATTACGAAACTACATAAACTAATATAACAAAAATTACTCTCTCATTCTCATCATTCAAATTGGTCTTGACCTTACGACACGCCGGTTTTAAGATTTCGCCATCTGTAAGGTACCGGGTTCGAGTCCCGAATCTCGGGTCTGGGTGTTGTTGTACTCATTTTGGACTCTGAGCAATGCATTAGTTTTTATTTGATTATGTATGTACTCTGCGATGGGATTCGAACCCACGACTTTTCAATATCCGGGCGACTGCTCCAACCACTGAGCTACCCATCACTTCAATAAACAAAGTGACTCATTGTCGACGACGACAAGGTCATTCAACACTATTACAAAAATCGTAATTTTTTGCAAGGAATTAATTAAAAATAGTTTTTCCACATGCCATTCGCCATCCTCTGTCAAAAGCAGCAATAAGATAAACAAGTAGTTCTGTTTCTACGCCCAGCTCGCATTTTTATAGGTTCGCATTTTTTTTATAAGTAGAACAATTTACCCAATTTCAAAAGTCTCTCCGGCTTCCAGTGGCGCCAGATGGTGAAAGCGCGGTCGAGATCTTCATCAGATGTCACTTCCTTAGAATTGTTTGAAGGCACTTGCTTTGATATCAACCGAGATTCTTCGTTCTCACCACGAACCATCAAAAGGCCAATCGCTGACATAATTACAATCACCTAATTGGAAATATAAACCAAGATATGTATAATAACACTTTTCATTCTTAAAAAAACGTTTATATCTAACACAAGTGACTTTACCTTAATAATCATTTTAAAGAAGTTTTCTATTGTTAGAATATAAAAGTAATTACTTGACTTCTGCTTATAGGCTACTGAAGTATGCAACACTGCGCTGTCGGTTTTATGAAGTTATAAAATTTAGAGCGGATGACTGCATATTACACGCAGTTAACTGTTGAAGAAATTTTCCAGTGAACCAAATCAATGTGTTGTAAAATTGACTTAACAACTTGCAATTTAAAGAATTCCGATATAAACGACTAAACCAAAGAACTGAATCTTATCTGTATTACTTTTTGTAAAATATTATATTTTCTAGCATGTACACCTTTCAATACCTAAGTAGTACCTACTTATGCAAAATTAATGCAAAATTTCAACAAAATCTATTTCTTGTATCTCGTTGGATGGAAACGAAAAACGTTGACAGTGTTGTTAAACATTTTATAGAGAATCAAAATAGTATTCCCATTTGAAGTAGTTTGAGTATCTGTTCAAAAAAATTCTTGAAGATATTTCCAAATATTATTTTTAAAGTTACTGCTACTCATCTAGAAAATGTAATAAAATTGGTAATATAATATATTATACGCTAGAAAGCAAACACGTAGTAACCCACAAAACCAAAATTGTTCTTCAGAGTAGAAAAACTTTAATTTTATTCGATAAATAATTCCTATAAACGTCCATGGTAATAAAGAAGGTGCTCCTTAGTCAATTTGTACAGAAATAAGATATTGTTTTTTGAAAAAATATAAAGATTATCCATTTTAAAGATCCATTTTGGTTTTGCGGGTTACTACGTATTTGCTTTCCAGCGTCGAATATATTCGAGAAACCCTATTCGAAATGCAACGCAAATCGAGCCGCTAATATCATGCCTATCAAACAAAATATCCGGTTGCAATAATTCCGGTTTCACGCTCCATCTAATGACTGAATGTGCTGTCAAGCTGTTAATCTAAAAAATACGTATTCTTTTAACGTTAGCTCGGTGGCGTAGTGAATAAGCGCCGCGGCCAACGATCGTTGTCGTTAAGCAACTTTCGCAAGGGTCGGTCACGGGATGGTTAACCAAAAAATTATTATCTCGACCTACTACGTGATTCGAAAGGCACGTTAATCAGTTGGTCCCGGCTGCATTTTTTCGTTAATACCCTCCTATCCGCATTGGGCCAGCGTGGAGGGTCATGACCCATCCTCCTTAACCATCCATAAGGAAGGCATGAGCCCCTGCAGTGGGGACGTAAAAAGGCCGATGATGATGACGATGATATACAAAGAAAATATATGTTGATTAAGAATATATATTTTGTTGTATATACATACCATAAACTCTCTGAAGCAAGCATTCTGTATTTGAAGCAAATATAATAAATATTAATTGAGGTTTAATATTTTAATAACTAATAATATATAGTTAAACCTCTTTACTATTGTTTTTAATCTGTAATTAAAAAGTATTATTATATTAAATTATTACGAAATAAAAATCACGTTTTAGTTCAAGTTTTAGTTTGTCCCCATAGACTTAATGGTTGCATTTGAAAAAGGTTTATTCAGAACATCAATAAAACAAATTTAATTTATTTTAATTTTTGTAATTGAGTTATAACAAATACAAAACGAATTAAATAGTATCGATTAATTTACAAAATTCACAAACAATTAAAGCAATTTGTTTTTATTAATTAGAATTAAATTTGTCTATGAAACTATAAACAATTTAGGATGTCCATCAATGGCGCCAATTCTGTTGTACCACTAAAAAATTTGTCTTTAATTAGAGTTTGTTTTAACGTTATTCCACACTCATATATAACAAAATTTTAATTATACTCCTGTATAATATATGAGGTTTACTTCTGTTATCTTGGTCACTTTCTCACACAACGTAGTTTGACAGGAATTAGGACTAAACCTAAAAGTCTAGTTTGTACAACAGAATTGCTGCCACTATCAACTTATAACATCTACACGAATTACTAAATATTTCTTTAATTGTTTATAACTTCACATAATCAATGCACTATTTGTAATGACTAGCTAGCCTTACTACAGATACAGTAGTAAATACTGTTACAACCATTGTTTAAATTCTATATAATTTATTTCAATAATTAACTGCCGTACTCAGAGACTTGAATTAAATAATGTCAGATAAATTGACATTTACTTCTTTTTTGCAAATATTGCCTGTATTTGTATTTTTTTTTCAGTGCTATAAGTGTTTCTTACGCAATCATTGAAGTTAAATGATGTCTCTGACTAAAGTAGTTAATGCTTTCTCTAATTATAAATCTAACATAGTTAACAACAAATGTCACATTTAATATAATCATTTCTATGGCTTACGCCTTACATGATAAAATCATTAGAAGTTTTGAAGACTGAAAACTTATTTGTACAATTTTGTTATTTGATTTTAGTATGAAACTCCATATGTATGAATTAGTAGTATTTCTTTATATATTAAAGTTTATATATATATAGTATAGTATATATAGTTATAATTTATTAATATATATATATTTAAGGTAGGCAGGTTTTATATCCTAAACAAATTGATATCTATCGCTTGAAACTGTGCCATGTTTCATATCTGTATGACCATGCAGATCAATATAAATATGTCATATATATATTTTTTAATACTCAAATGAACGAGGTCTACTCGAGAGGTATTTTCCTCCCCAACCCTATCCTATTCATGCCAGGTCTTCTGGATAGATGGCAGAAACCCTGGCGGGTCAGGTATTTTATTGCTCGATAGATTCCACATGTCCGAGAAGATTTGTAACGAATACAATAGGAAAATTATTATTGAATAAGGCGAACACTGGCAGGCGAAATATAATTGTGCTATTGGTTGCGGATTTTTATTAGTCGTAATGATAGATGAAATGGCAATTAGAAAATCACTTTACTATGATCTCCAATCAGGATACATAAGATATCCTCACTAAGAAAGGGTTTTTATTGAAACGGATTGTTACAGAGATATATTGGAATTATTAAATTATAGTAAGAAGAAAGGTCATGTGAAAAGCAAGTCTTACAAGAAAAGGAATAAGAAAAAGCCTAAGGACTATAATCATGAAGTGCTTGTAGCATTAAGCTGTGAATTTTGTTTTATTCACAATGATTGGGTTGTTGACACTCCGGAGCCACAAGTATTATGTGTAATAATTTAGAACCTATGAATAATTTTAAGTTCTGCGACTACTACTAATACGAAACACCATTGTCGTATAGACTTCTCATCAGCTAATGCTACCCAATCAAATTAAAAGCTTCTTTTGGAAGAAGCTCATTATCAACTTACTTGACTGTTGCAAAAATAAATAACACATAGCTGATGAATCTAAATTACCTAAGCATAACGAACACTGTAACTTAAAAATAATGAAATTGAATGGCAACACCATCACAAATATGCTTTGGAATTGCTTGGTAGAATATCGAATTGTATCACGTGGATATGTAAGATATTAAGTTTGGATGGAATATGGATCTGTGTCCTTGGAACGAAAACTAACATCATCCAGGTTTATTGAACACTAACGTGCATTTGCTTAAGTGTACAACCGAACCTATATCAATACGCGCGTGACGACTAAACTTGGACGATATTACAAGGTATACTTTTAGTTTAACAATTTCTATTTTAATTATAATAACTTCATTATTATAAAACTTTATATTTATACGATTACAATAACATGTTCACACCGGATCATTTTTTCCGAACTGACATTCATAAAGAGCATATTGGATTAGTCAAAATTTCAAATTACGAAAGGTGAATAATAAAAAGAAATAATGTTAAAGATCAGAGACAAAAAGATTGCATGCTAAAACCTAGGACGAAATAAACGGTAGTACAGCACACCGTTACAATACAATCCATAATCTACACCTGAAGCTAAATATGTTGTACTCACAGAGACAATGAAAAAAGCCGTCCATCTGTGACATTTTTACAATGTTGAATGTTCCACGAGATCAGTTACTGGTAGTATGCGTCTGAGATGTGGGTAGTGTATTTTACACCTGGGATATCAGGTGTAAAATACAGTATAGTGTAATAGGTGTAATAGTGTCATCAAAACAAAGCACATGAACTTGAAGATGCACCATATAAGAGACTCTTATAAGAGACTTAAAAGTAGTGCAGATCCAATACTTGCCGACAGAGATCATGGAAGCAAACATAAATCCATGATCTAGGTTAAGTTAGCCAAAACTCATATTATTGAGCAAGGACACTGCAGTCAAAGCACAATAATAATTGGAAAATTTGCTTCATTATTTTTAGGAAAATTAGATCTTACAAAAGAATGAAGGGATTGGCGGGTAACCGTAGAACTGAAACGTGCTATGTAGTTACTTATTCATAATTTCTCATTTTTTTTTCTTTGAAGTATTAGCAAAAAGTTACTGCTATGGAAATATGAATGTATAAGTATAACAGACGCCCAAAAACTACGAGAAAAAAACAGTTTTAAAGAGGAAGGGAAGAATTATCGTCAGACGCTTCAGACGAGGAACCAGACACAAAATACTTGCCTTTCAAGAAAACCACATAAGTGTATAGACCACATATGTATATAGTGTATACACATAGAAATATCTATAACACTCTTAAGAAACCAACTTCTCTGTCAACTTAGAAAATATAAACGACACGGAGAAACCTGATAAGAGTATAGACCACATATGCGTATAGTGTATACACATAGAAATATCTATAACACTCTTAAGGAACCGACTTCTCTGTTAGAAAATACGAACGACACGGAGAAATCAGATAAGAGTATAGACCACATATGTATATAGTGTATACACATAGAAATATCCATAAAACTCTTAAGGAACCAACCTCTCTGTCAACTTAGAAAATACGAATGACACGGAGAAATCAGATAAGAGTATAGACCACATATGTATATAGTGTATACACATAGAAATATCCATAAAACTCTTAAGGAACCAACCTCTCTGTCAACTTAGAAAATACGAATGACACGGAGAAATCAGATAAGAGTATAGACCACATATGTATATAGTGTATACACATAGAAATATCCATAAAACTCTTAAGGAACCAACCTCTCTGTCAACTTAGAAAATACGAATGACACGGAGAAATCAGATAAGAGTATAGACCACATATGTATATAGTGTATACACATAGAAATATCCATAAAACTCTTAAGGAACCAACCTCTCTGTCAACTTAGAAAATACGAATGACACGGAGAAATCAGATAAGAGTATAGACCACATATGTATATAGTGTATACACATAGAAATATCCATAAAACTCTTAAGGAACCAACCTCTCTGTCAACTTAGAAAATACGAATGACACGGAGAAATCAGATAAGAGTATAGACCACATATGTATATAGTGTATACACATAGAAATATCCATAAAACTCTTAAGGAACCAACC